AAGCTAATTTAAACTTGTGACGGCTTATGGTTCACGTTTGTGACCAGGTTGTCCTTTTTCCACACCGTGTGGCTATACGATCTCCATACAGTTCCATTTGAGTCGAGATGCCAGAGTAACACAGGAGGGATCAACTTGAAAAGGGTCATCTCGGGCTGGCCTGTGGCACCGTGGCTTCACAAGTGCTTGCTAGGAAAGTGTATCCGGGTCAGACTTTTGTAAAAATCACATCCTGCTTCTAAGATTTGTGGTCGTTGTTTTCCTTTCAGAAAAATGTTCGTTGGTGGTCTGAGTTGGGATACCAGCAAAAAAGACTTAAAGGATTATTTTACTAAGTTTGGAGAGGTCGTGGACTGTACAATTAAAATGGATCCCAACACTGGACGATCAAGAGGGTTTGGGTTTATCCTATTCAAAGATTCTTCCAGTGTAGAGAAGGTAAGCTGGGTGTTAGCAGCAGTCTCTATTAGGATTCTAAGTCCTAAGGAACTCGGGCACTGCAGTATTTGATAGGGACAAAGAGCTTAAATTCCTGTTTTGAGGGGTAGTACAGATTAAATGGGTTATATGTGAGGGAATGATTCTGGGGGATTACTGTTCGTACTGTTTTAAAAGCTTACTGCATATCCTGTAGGAGGGCAGTGAGCTGGGCAGTAACTAGAGTCCTGCCTTCAGCCCTCCCTTAATACTTTTTTGTTTTTGGTTTCTCGAGACAGGATTTCTGTGTAACAGCCTTGACTGTCCTGGAACTCACTGAGAGATTCCTCTGCCTCAGCCTCCCAAGTGCTGGGATTAAGGGTGTGTGCCATCACCACCCGGCTGCTTATTACCTTTTTTATATGCTTATTTATGGGCTTGGTGTTAAATATTTTACTGTGATTGCTGTGAGGATAGTTTTTTTTCTTAATACAATTTTAATGGAGATGGGACCCCAATTCCTAAATCTCAGAAATGGTGAAAATGCATGCATTTATACAGGGTGGAGAGGATTTCAGCACTAGATTATCTAGTGTTCTTTGTCACTGCTTTAATGAAAGGTCTTAAGTAGGGAACTACTGGTTAGGAGGAGTGTAGAGCCTGGGTAGAGGCTAGTGGGGGTGGCTTATAGGTATTCAGGTGGTCCTCTGTATGGGAGGTTAGGAAGTCAATTTGGTTTAGCCCCAGAGAGAATTAAGCCCTCTTTGTATTTGTGTTGGATTGAACCTAACATGTTTCTGTTTTACACAGGTCTTAGACCAGAAGGAACACAGGCTGGACGGTCGTGTTATTGACCCTAAAAAGGCGATGGCTATGAAGAAGGATCCTGTGAAGAAAATCTTTGTGGGAGGTCTGAACCCTGAAGCCACAGAGGAAAAGATCAGAGAATACTTCGGCCAGTTTGGGGAGGTGAATATGGCTTCTGTTTCTTTCTGCTCTTCTTTGACTTTGCCTGGCCAGATTATTATATTAGTAGAGTTTTCTCATCTTTTCAGTGGTCTTTTCTTGGCAGGTTTCTATGTTCTTGGGTACACCTAAGAGGTTTACACCTAAGCTTTGTTTGTTTTTACAGATTGAAGCCATTGAGCTTCCAATAGATCCCAAGTTGAACAAAAGACGGGGTTTTGTTTTTATTACATATAAAGAGGAAGACCCTGTGAAGAAAGTTCTGGAGAAAAAGTTCCATACTGTCAGCGGAAGCAAGGTAAGGTGTCAGAACTGTTTTACTGGTTTTTGGTTCTTGGAGGTGTAGATTAGCTACCTATAGACCCTTTGTTAGTAAAACCTTACTGTTTCTCTATAGTAGTACACAATGACATTAAAACAGTTATTTTTTTTTGTTTTTTTTTTGGTTTTTTGAGACAGGGTTACTCTGTGGCTTTGGAGGCTGTCCTGGAACTAGCTCTTGTAGACCAGGCTGGTCTCTAACTCACAGAGATCCACCTGCCTCTGCCTCCTGAATACTGGGGTTAAAGGCGTGCACCACCAACGCCCGGCTTAAAACAGTTCTTTAAAGAGAAGCTGGACTGGAAACAGCTGGTTCAGTGGCTAAGAGCACTAGCTCTCAGGAAGACCCTGGCCCATTCTTAGCACCCTTGGCTCACAACCACCTGTAAGCCTGTAACTAGTTCAAGGGCTCTAATGCTCTGGTCTCTGTGGATACCATACACTGTATGTGCTAGGTATATTAATAAAAACTAAAATTGGGTGTAAAGCTCCTGTGAATAGAGCTTCTGACTAGACTCTTTGGTGCCTGATTTAGTGTTAGGGATGATAGTGTACAGTCCAGGGCTTATGAGACTTGCAGTCTTAGATTCTAGAGCTCAGTAATTTAGTATGCTTACATCTATCTGTATTGATGTTTTTCCTGTTCCAGAGTTTGTCCCATTTAGCTGTGCTTTACAGTCAGCCCTACTGTAGGCCTAAAATGGACTACAAATGTGGAGTTGTGTTTAATGAAGTAATAGATTTTCAAGTTGGTTAGGTTAGAAGGTGTGGCACTGGCTGTAGCTTACTGGAGAACTGGATAAGACAGCCAGATAAGGTAGGGGCAGGCTCCAGGAAAGTTATTGCCCCACTCATTGGGAGTTTTTTTTTTTTTTTTTTTTTTTTTTTTTTCCCATGGGAGTTTTCAAAGCTTGGGTTTGGGATTAAAGCAGACAGGTAGGGCATTCTTTTTTGTTTCTTAACTCACAGAGATCCTCCTGCCTCTGCCTCTTCAGAGTGCTGGGATTAAAGACGTGCACCACCACTGCCTGGCTAGGTGGGACATTCTTAATTATTCCAGTGGACAGTGACATTTTTCTTTTTGGTGTGCCTTAATGGTGAGCCTTCTGTGGTAGTGAAAACTGCTGCTGGTAGGCCTTAGAAGTAAACATTCAAATACTCAGTCTTTTTCCTCCACCCCTTTGAGATAGGGTTTCTTTGTATAGATCGGACTGTCCTGGAACTCTAAACCATGCTGGCCTCTTGTCTCTGTCTCCTGAGTGATGGGATTAAAGTAAACTGCCACCTCAGTTTACTCAGGATCTTTAATTCAGTAAGATAAAATAAGGCAAAACTTGCAAAACTTGATAGATAATATGCATTCTCCTACCCCTTTTTGAGACAGCATATCTCATTGCTTCCATGGGAGGACTGGAACTCTCTCCATAATATGCTAGTTTCAAACTTGGAGTTTTGCTTGTTCTGTAACCCAGTGAACTAGGATTAGCTTTACTACTTATTTTTTAAATAAATGGGAGTGTAACAGGACTGCCTTTAGAAACATACCATTAAGTAAAAGCATTTACATCCCCTTCAAAGTTCTCGGCCAGGAAAGTGAGTCTGATTGGGTCCTGTTCAGATTTAGATGTGAAGCTTATCTCAGTGGACCAGTGCTTAAAGAGGAGGGGGGTAGCAGTATGGCTTCTAACAATGCCTCACATTTGGCTTTATCTGTAAGGAGGAGGTCAGCTTGCCGTCCTGTTAGAGTATTTGAGTAGGATGAGTGCCTTCTGTAAAAAGAGTAAAAAAGATTAGTTAGTACCTGTTGCCCTGGGGAATTCTGACCTTGCCCACTATGGCTGACTGTTTTCATCCCCAAACTTCACGGTTTTAGCTGTGGTTCTAGAAGTCAGATGAGGCCTCCTGCCCTCATCTGAGTATGGACTGTAGTAGATAGAGGTCTTCTTTGTAGCAGCCCAGCCCTGATTTGTCCACAGGACTTGACCGAGTGTCCTCTTGGCTTTTAGTGTGAAATCAAGGTTGCCCAGCCCAAAGAGGTGTATCAGCAACAGCAGTATGGTTCTGGGGGACGAGGAAACCGCAATCGAGGGAACCGAGGCAGTGGTGGAGGTGGAGGTAAGTGGAAGCTGGATGAAGACTTTCCCTGCCTGCAAGGAGCTTTCTCTGGCTGTCTTGGGATTGCCTCTTGGTGTTCTGTGCAGTAGGGGTGGGCAGGATGGGTGTGGTGAAGTGGATACAACTCAGGGATAGCAGTGGTTTTCCTGGGTGGAGGCTGTGTGCTTGTGCTGCTATGGCTCATGGCTCCATGGATTGAAAGAGCCGTATCTTTCTCATTGTGCAGTTTGGGGCCCCAGGCCAAGGGGGCATTTTCATTGCACTGGGAAAATGATGGGGGCACAGTGGATTGTGCTTAGCTTTGTGGCTGTCCTGAGTCTTGGTACACACATACCTGTGGGCAGAAAGGCAAAGCTGTGCCAGGCGCTTAGCTCTTTCCGTCCCAGGCCCCTCTAACTCCAAAGCCTGAACTGCATCTTTTTCAAGGCAAAGCTGCCAAGGGAGGGTGGAGGTGATCAGAGGGTGATTTGAGTGAGTGTGAGTAAGCTTCCTATACTCCCAAGTGAAGTTACTGGCATCTTGGCCTCCTGGATTGCAAGGCTGGGCCTAGGGCCTCTAAATCAGAACAGTAGCCTCTTGGCTTCTACCTGAGTTGCCATGGTAACCCGCCACCCAAAGGGCAGGATTTCCTCCATCCTAGCTCCTGCGTGTGCTAAATGGTCCATGGGCCCCTGTGCCCTGCTCCCCCCACAGGTCAGAGTCAGAGTTGGAATCAGGGCTACGGCAACTACTGGAACCAGGGCTACGGCTACCAGCAGGGCTACGGGCCCGGCTATGGC